TTTGCATGTATTAGGTATGCAAGGTGTCTTTACTGCTGTGAGGGAGAAACATTGTCAGTCTCTGTACGATTTACTGCTTCTGAAAACCCACTGGAGGGTCAGCTATGAGTCAGTTCCAACTTGACAGTTCTCAAGAACAACAAAAGGCATATTTACCTTGTATTTTTACAACTCTTTAGAATAAGGGGTGAGGATAACCAAAAGATCAAACCCAAGGTGTCTTATCTACAGCTGGTCTTAATTTGCCTAAGATTCTGGACCTCAAACTTGAGCCTGATGCTGTAATTAGATGAAACTTGGGGGTGCTTTCCCTCCTTCTTCAGGGATATGTATATTCAGTATATGAGAGAAATTTAATTCTTTATGGCCAGAGATTAAATTGGTTGACTTTATAACATTCTCAGAAATTTTTTGAAGTGGGGTTTACATTCCTATTCAACTGACTCAGAGCCACCTTTAGTCATTTATTTGTAACTTTAAGATGTAGAGTCTAAGATAGTGAGTAGCTTCTAAGAATAATTCCAAAATGGCCATATCGCTTTCAACTAGTTCTTTTTGGGAAACTCACCTTTAGAGCTGCAAGTATCCTGTGAGAAGTACAATCACTCAGAGGCTGTCACACTGTGTTGAATCCTAGGCCACATGACAATGCCTTATGCTGGTGATTGGTCCACAGCCCCAGAGGGTATAGGCACCAATTCCTAGAGGGTATAGGCACCACTCTAGATAATACTGGCCTCTGATGCTGAGTCATCCACAACTAGCAAAAGATTTCAGTTGAGGCACCCAATATCGCTGAGAAGAGACAAGACATCTCTTGTGTCCCCTGGCAGTTTCTGACCCATAGTTCTCGTTAGGTCCTGTCAAGTTAGTTGACTATCACTCATAGCAATCTTCTGATCAGCAGACAGAAACCTTCCCTTTCCTGTCCCATCCTCATAACCACTGACATGCTCAAGCCCATCATTGCAGTCACTGTGTCAATCCCTCTCAGTCAAGGTCTACTCGACATGCAATAAATATCTTCTGAAGAAATGAATGAAGGCAAATATTGCCAAGTAGGAATATGGGACCAATGTTACAAGAGTTCCTAATTTTTCAAAATAGGCCAAAAATAAATTATTTGACTTGTAATCTCTCATTTCTCCATTTTGACAACTAATTAGAAAGGAACAGTAAACTTTCTGGGGGATAGGTAAACAAACAATGTCTGTAGACTTGGATTCAATCTGAAAGCTGTATTTGCAGTTTCTGTACTAGAGGGATCTTGGACTGCTTTTTATCTTTCTAATTACTGAGGAAAGTGCTTTGTAAAGACGAGGTAGCTTAATAAGCAAATAATGATGATAATGATGAGGCCTCAAATATGCTCACTTGAGGCACAGCAATAACTCAGCTGTGTATTAGGAAGAGGCTATTCAAGTTCTTTCCTCACATCCTACAGGAAGGAGTTTCTGTCTCTGATCAAATAGCCACCTGGACTTCGCATGACTATTTCACAACTCAAGATTTTAAAGCCAAACTTTCTCTCCTTCCAGCTGTTCTAGGATTGAAAAATGTCATTCCTACATGTTCCCAGTAGTTGGGAAAAAAAAAGAAAGTAGAAAGAAAATCGACTGAATTTCCAAAGGGTGACAGAAGAGAATCACGTTTTAAACCACATTTCTACAGTTGATGAGTAAGAACTCCCTATAGCAATTTTGTTTTCCTTTTTTACTGATCTTAGCATTTTCAGGCTGCACCATCTAAAAATTTATTCCAGTTGACCTTCCAATGCTCTTTGGGAGCATGTTTTATCTTTCTTACACACAAAAAAATTAATAAGCAGAAATATCAAAATGTTTACTAATTACCTAGATTCTTAACTCTTTAAAAAAGTCACATCTAAATAATTTCGAGTGTGACTGGTTTTAAGCATGGGTCTCTTAGCAACAAAGATAAGTGTATAGGACTTAGAACCTCTTTTAAGACACTTAAAACATACTATAAGAAAGCATTTCCAGTTTAACCTACGTGAACTGACACACAGCAACTCAAATGCCAACTTCTGAAGACCTAAGAATGAGTTACTGTGATGTATCTTTTCTCTGATGGTGTAATGCTAGAAATATCCACAGGAAACACTAACAAACATCGAAGAAATCAGTCACATCAAATTATTATAAGTACAAAAGAGCCAAATTTCCCTCTCTACCCAATATTGGAGTTTTGGTGGTAAGGTGATTAAAAGAGTTGGCTACCATTCAGAAGGTTGGCAGTTCAAACTTAACAACTGTGCCAGAGAAGAACATGTGACAGTCTGCTTCTGGAAAGAGTTACAGGCTTAGAAACACTATGAAGAAGTCCTCCTGTGTCCTAATGGGTCATTGAATTGGAATTAGCAATGGATTTGGTGGTGGGTGTAGCGAGTACACACAGTACTTTGAACACTATTTTAGTCATTATGTAGATGAGTTCCCTATATACAGTTTTTCAATAATGGCATTAATTTTGTATGCAAGCATATTTATTTTGTAGACATGTTCCACAATGATTTAAATGAAAAGTAACAGCGAGGAAAATTTATTTAGCCAAACCTATTTTTCAAAATTCAGGTTATTATACAGCTATGAACTTTTTACAGAATATCAATTTGTATTCATGTCTACTGTGGTGTTCAAGCAATAGCAATTGTAATGATCACTGGATAAGGAGAATTACATCTGAATTCTCTTATAGAAGCAGGTGAAATGGTTAAACAATGAAATCATAAGGCAAAAAGCAACAAGCTCAAAATTCACAATCTGACCAGGTCGGGTTCGACCTGTGGTTCGCCCTTACTTTTTGATCCTAGGTGTTATTCAATCTCTTTAAACTTTAATATACTTTACTCATTTGGAACAGCAGAATCATACTATCCTGCTTTAGGAAAGGCACAAAAACTGAAATAATGCATATTTATCTTATAAGCCATTAAAATAGAGGTTAATTGACCATAACTTAGCTTAGCGTGATTAATGTAGCTTATAGTATGTAAAGAATGTCTTGAACACTGTGACACAGACATTAAAGAACCTATTAATTTAGTGTGTTGTCATTGGCTGTTGAGATGATTTTCAACTCACAGTTATTCCATGTGACAGAACACAACTGCCTCATGTAGTTTTCTGGACTAATCTTTACAAGAGTAGATTGCCAAGTCTTTCATCCTTAGAGTCACTGGGTGGGTTCCAACCTCTAACTTTAGCAGTTCAGTGCTTAACCATTCTGACACCAGGGATAATTATATGCTTAATACTAATAGCAAATTATCTAGACCCTTTATATATTAGTCTTTCAGAAGAATATACTCCTGTAGACTCAGAGGTTAATAAGCTAAAATAAGATTTATACACCCATGAACCATTGTCACTCAGGTGTTTGTGACTCATAGCAACCCTGTAGGGCAGGAGATACAGAAAGACATTTAATAACTTACAGAAAGTCTAGCACATGGTCAGAAGACATTATGCATCAAAATATTGACGGAAGCATTATTAATAGCTGAAATGCATAAAAGTAAAATGTTCATGTACAGGAGAATTGACAAACTGTGATATATCTGTTCAACTATTCTATCCAGAGTAATTCAAGAAACATAATAGTAAGCAAAAGATAAAATGAATAAAACTAAGTTACTGATTGCTATCTACACAGTATAAAAACCATATTTCTATATATATTATATTCTATATTCTATATCCTATATCCTGTATTCTATATATATGTTTTTATACTGTATAGATATATAAGTAAGTGTGAAATTTTGAAACATGGTGTATATAAATAGAAATGTATTATAAATATATACTTCATAATAATAGCATGCATTAAAACATCTATGGTACTATGAATTAAGTAATATGATCCTTCTATGTATAGCCTTCCATTTTATGATCCTCGTCTCTTTGTCTATGCCTAAGACCTCATTAACTCAAGGATGAGTTATGTATTGTATTAATGAGATAAGGGTGGGATACAAGGTACCACTCTTAGTTCTCAGAGGGTGTGGTTTATAACCCTAAGATTTTATAAAAAAGAATGCTTATAGAAGCTCAGTATTTTATACATATATATAAGCTTGAGCCTCTTTATCTAATCTGATCCAGGGGCATTACCAGCCAGAAACCACTGGCCAGCCACCAACTCACAACTGACAGCTGACATCCACCAGCTGACAACCAACAGTCTCAGCCTGCAACCTCTTGACTCAGTGTTTACCAGTCTCTGCAATCATGTACATGTGAGTCCTCGTGCTTTTTTTAATTTCTGTGAGATCTTCCAGCATGTCACAGAACTCAAAGACATAGATTGGTATGGGAAGACTGACAGGAATAGGAACAATTAATGTCACAAATGATGGAGCAGTACAGCAGTTTGGATATTTGGAACATTGTTAACCAACTTAAAGCAACTGCTTTGTACTAATCATTTTAAAAGCAATTATTTGTTCAACATCAAATCCAGGAAAGATTCTAAAGAAACAGAGCAAGGCAATGTGATCATTGACAGGTACAAAGGGAGCTTTAACAATATCCATTATTTTATTTCCTCTAAAATTTAATTAGGCTGAAGTAATGACAGTAAAATGTTTCATTTAAAGAGTTGCCACATAAATACTGGGGTTCATTAGAGTACTCCCCATATTTTTTAAACATTTCACAATTTTAAAAGAAGTCATTTTCCTCATCTTATAAAACAGGTAATTCTAAAAAGAGACAACAGCTGCTCCAGGGGAAGGGCTGTTGGAAATAAAGGGAAAGCAGGAAGAGAACAGCACATGTTTAAAAGAAGAAAAGAGTTGGGTATAAAAGATAGGTTACTCGCTAATCTTCTGAAACAATAAAAATCATTTCCTCTCAAGAGTTAAGAATTTAGTTAAACAAAATGTAAAGAGGTTAAAAACAACTCTTGATTAATGAAGAACTCAGGTTAAATTGCATAGGGTACATAAGACAAAAAAATAAGCTTTAAATACTTACAATAACCCCACTCTTGGTGGTAGTTTCTCTGTATGTGAAGTTGCAAATTGCCCAGGCTAAGTAATATGTGGACATGAGAGGGGTCTGTGAAAAGTGGTCTGTAACCCATCCATCTTCCTCAAACACAGAAGTTTCCACTGGCATATTGGATAAAGATAAATAGGTTGCTTGATGCTTGATGCTGATTTTGAAAGTAGCCTTGTAGATTGGCTCATCAAAACAAGGAAATGCTTTTCTGGCATGTATAGGTGAAAACTGAGTAACACCAAGGAATCTGGAAAAAAGAAGGAAAAAAAAAGGACACTCTCAGTAACATTAAGGCTTGAGTTAAGTTATGGCCAAAGCACATACTTCCACTAATAGAATAAACTAATTTTGACAACCTGCAAGATTTATTTCTCTGAATAAAATTTAAAAGCATAAACACCCATTTATTTCCCAAACAATGAAAGATCTTGAGCAGAATTTTTGTCTCAAGTTTTCTCTATGCAGAATTCAAACTCAAAATTCATTGCTGCCAAGTCAAAACTGACTCATAGCTGTGACCCTCAGAGGGTTTTCAGAGGCTGTAAATTAGACAGAAAACTATCGCCCTTCTTTCTCCTATGAAGCAGCTAGTGGATTTTAACTGACTGCCTCTGGGTTGACAATACAACTGTCTTATCCACTAAAATACTACAGCTCCCTAACTCAGAACTGGTGTTGTTGTTGATTGTCTTTAAGTCAAGCACAACTCATAGCAACCCTATAAAGGAAAGTCCTGAAGCCTGTCTACAATTACTGACATTTATATTATTAAAGTTCACAGAGTTTCTGGAAGCATGCTATTTCGGAAGTGGATGCCACTCCTGCTTCCAAATCTGTCATTGCATGTTATTGTTGTTATGTGCTTTTGAGTCGCCTGTGATGCATAGCAACCCTATGTACAGCAGCTCTGACCCCTCCCTGTCCTGAGCCAACTCAGAATTAGTGATTGTTAAATGAAACACTACACTCTACAGAAAAGTAGACATAGAAAATAATGATTGACAAATATTGGAAAATTTTTCTCCTGTGCTTAGTTATAACATAAAGAAAATGAAACCAAACTCCAAAAGCTGTCCTCAAGTACTCATAGAACTTAGAAAACCATTCTGAAATGGTGTTGTTGGAAGATTTCAACAAGATATGACCAGGTTTTTTTAGGAACAAGGGCTTTGAACATAGACAAAAGTCCTGAGCCCTGGCTATACAAGTGGCTTAGACATATCATCTTGAGTAGTTATTAAGTGCCATACAGTTTAGCTGTTCTTTAGGTAAAAAGGCAAATAAATAAACTTAAAAGATATGGTAAAGTTTAGAAAGATGTAAAGAATCCATCATTGCAAACAGCACCAAATTGTTACTGTTATGTGTCCTTAAGTTGACGGTGACCCATAGCAGCCCTATGAACAGCAGATCTGAACCTTGCCCTCCCTGTTCTGCGCCATTCTCAAGATCTCCGACACACTACAGCCCACTGTTACAGTCACCATGTCAATCCGTCTTGTTGTGGGTCGTCTTCTCCTACAGTGACCACCTTTCCAAACATGATGTTCTTCTCCAAGGAATAGCCGCTCCTAACAACATGCTTAAAGTAGGTGAGGCAGAGTTTCCTTGCCTTCCTTGCCTCCAAGAAGGACCCTGGATGCACATTATCCAAAACATACTTGTTTGTTCTTTTGGAAGTCCACGGGATATTGAGTACTCTTTTCCAACATCAAAACTCAAAGGCATCAATTCTTCTTCTGTCATCCTTGGTCATGGTCGAACTTTCAGATACATAGCATGCCATTTAAAAGACCATGGTTTGGATCAGGCACACCTTAATCTTTAAATACACATCATTGCTCTTTAGTACTCTGGCAAGCTATCTGACAGCTGACTTTGCCATTCCACCTTGTCTTTTAATTTCTTGATTGCTGGAACCAAGGGTGATGATTATGGATCTAAGAAAGATGATACCATTGACAACTTCAATCGTTGTCTATCCTGATGTTGCCTGATAATGAAGACTTCTGTTTCTTTGATTCTGAGACGTAATCCATATAGAGGGCTGTAGTTCGTGATCTTTTGCAACAAACATTTCAAGTCATCCTCATTTTTAAGCAGGAAAGCTTGTGTCATATGCATACTGCAGGCTGTTGATAAGTCTCTTTCTAATTAATGCCACATTCTTTTCAAGCAGCCAATAAATGGTAGCCTTGCCTGGTGTACTATAATAGTCCTTTCTCCTTGTGTGTAGGAGATATATTCAGCCCCCACCCCCACCCCCACCCCAGGATACTTGGAGCTGCAGATACTGAATCTATACTATGCTTGACTTGTAGTTACATTATCTATGACAAAGTTTAATTTCTAAAATAGACAGAGTAAGAGACTGGCAATGTTAGTGTCCAGAAAGTCTATATTGTGGATAGGCTGTTAAATATAAGACTGGTAAGTCACTAAACTGTCTGATGTCTGAGCTTGCTGGGTTACTTTGCTTTTTTGTTTGCTCTTCCATTATTGAAAGGAAGTCAAGATGTTGTTATGCTTTCCCTAGAAAAGGATATGACAAAACGAGATAATACATGAGAAAAAAGTTGAGCTATAAATCCTTATACAAGCACCTCATAACATTACCTGATAAAGGTAATGTTAGAAGAATCCCTAGAACAAATACCCCAGCTCTGCACAACTTTTAAGATGAAGAAGTAGATCCAGTAGCCTTAAGAGATTAATTAAGGTTAATACAGACAATTAGCACATTACTAGAGCTACAATTCACATTTCTTATCTTTGAGTAAAATGTAAATGCATCTCAAAAACCACAAAATTCATTTTAGCCATAATTTATAAACACTAATTTAATTCATCTATCTCAACTCAATGCTGTTGGGTCAGAACGAATGCCTAGCAGGTCCTCTTGTAGGTTTTCAGAGGCTGTAAATAACACAGGAAACCGCTCAGCTTTCTCCTGTGAAGCCACTGGTGGAATCAAACTGCCAAAGAGGCAACGTCTGGTAGAAAAAGACACCAGAGTTACAGGTAACAAAAATTCTTATTTCGAAATGACTAGCATCCTATTAGTTCTCCTTGTTACTCTTTATTAACAGTAGAATAATTTTTTTGCTTAATTAAATGTCAGTCTTTTTCTTTTCCTGTGCTTCTGGATGCTGTATTTTAACATTATTAATTAAAATGTCTACTGAGATTACTATTATTCTATTTAGAATTTTGAATACACACAACAGATTTTCTTTTGAGAAAAACTTCTCTTTTCATTTGTTGTTGTGTGTCTTACTGACTGTGCAAAAGCATTTGCCTGTGTGGATCACCATAAACTGTGGCTAACCTTAAGAAGAACAGGAATCTCATAACACTTGATTGTGCTCATATGAAACCTATACTAAGGAAGCAGTCCTAAGAACAGAGCAAGGAAACACTGCACAGTCCAAAATCAGGAAAGGTCTGGTCTCCATATCTTTTCAATCTATATGCAGAATAGACCATCCAGGGGTCTGGGCTTTATGAGGAGGAATGTGGTATCAGGATTAGAGGAAGACTCATCAAAAAGGAGAGCATCAAGAAAGGAGAGGAAGACCCTGACTGAGATAGAATGACACAGTGACTGTGGTAGGTGTGTCAGAGACAGTGAGATTGACTCAAGATAGGCAGGATTCAGAGCTATTGTACACAGGGTACTATAAGTCATAGTCAATTCAATGGCACATAATAACAACCATCATCATGTGTGAGATTCTCACTGTTACATATCTGGCAATTTTTAAAAAATTATATACCCACTGTTTTTGTCACCAATACACATTCCACCCCTTTAAGGTCTATACAATTTCTCAAACTCTCATTGCCTTCATGTCAAAACAGATCCATAGCTGATCTGCTATTGGATCTGTGATTCTGTAAAAAATATGGGAGCAGCTTACCCATCTACCATCCATATAGACATTTGTTGTTGTTGTGTGCCACTGATTTACTTGCAACTCATAGCGACTTTATGTACAATAGCTCTGAACCCTGCTCCATCTATGAGCCAATTTCACTGTCTCCCACACACTAACCCCATTACCCCAGTCACTGAGTCCATCCATCTCATCCAGAGTCTTCCTCTCCTGTGCTGTTCCTCCACCCTTCCAAGCATGACGTCCCTCTCCAAGGACTGATCCCTCCTGGCAACATACCCAAAGTACATGAGACGGAGCTTCAAATTCCTAGCAGATTTTAAATGCCAGAACAAGGCATTCTTTGGGTTAGAAGTGCAAATCCCTCCACACTACACCACCAGTGTTCCCAACTGTATGCCATCAGAGCTCCCTAGTATCTAAACCAGCTAACTAGAGAGGAGGAAAGTAACTATCTTCAAACTGCTTTCGATTAACAGAGCAACTCCTTCATGTCTACAGCACACCTAAAAAATAAGAGAGGTTGCAATTAGAATGTACTAGTCTTTAAGAGAGAAAAGAAAGTTACATTTGACATTAAATAATTAATGAAGTGAGCAAGAATTTATTACAGGTAGAAGACCAAGATACCTTCCAGGTAAATTAATAAACCAAATATGTATGCAAAGGAAACATTTCATAAAGTCATTTTTTCCCCTTACTTAAAAAGTGAATGTTACTAATGCTAGCAATTTAAATTACTGATTCTCAGGATTGAAAGGAACTATAAAGATCATCTAGTGACTTTTTCTAAAATTAATATTCTTAATGAATTCCTACACACAGTGTGTATCTATGCATGGAGGGCCACCATATATTCTGATAATGTCTAAATGAGGAAATACCAATTTCACAGTCTGGCACCTGAGGATGACTGCAATTGAATTTCAATTCAGCATTTAGGAAATCAAAGGAAGTCCCCTGGTAGAGAAGAGCAGTTGAACTAGATTACATATAAGGTCTTTTCCAAGCTTGGCATCCTGTAACTAAAAAAAAAAAAAAAACACCAGAAATGCTATATTCCCTGAATCTTAAGAGGTGCTTTTAAAATGTTAAATTATGCTATCATTAAGCAGTATTTTTATTGTAACTTCTACAATACACATATTTCTCATAACCATTGATTTTTCAAGTGGCCAATACAAGGAAGATAAATATATATATGTTTACTTCATTTAAGGAGTGTATAGTCTAAGAAAATAAATTAAACATATACCTGTTGTTGCTGTTGAGTACCATCGAGTCAAAACCAACCCACAGCTGACCCCTTAATGGGTTTCCAGCAGCAGTTAATTGCACAGGGGGAGATTGC